TAGAGCCAAAGATGTTAGAATTGTGTCGATGTCCCAATATTTCTGGACCTGACTGTACGTTAACAACCATTACATCAACCTGTCCCACCCGGTTAGGCAGAGAGGGCATGTTGTGGACCCTGTCAGTGAGAGAATTTTGGCTAGCAGGGCCCAGGAGGAAGAGAGCCTTCTCTGCCATTGCCCCCACCCTTTGGAATATTTTCCCCCCAGAGATGTAGCAGGCCCCTACCCTCCCAGCTTCCTGGAAAGGATTAAAGACCTGGCTCTGCCAGCTTACGTGGGGTGATAACAATCTTACCCGATCTGGGGGTGGCTGGCTCTCTGAGTGACTGCCAATTTTAACATCTATCCTTGGGTCTATTTATTTTCTATTTATTTAAGATATTGTATATTGTAATTTTAATTTTAATTGATTTTAACCATTTTGTAAACCACCCAAAGTCATTTCAATGAGATGGGTGGTGACAAATTTGATCTAAATAAATAAATAAATGATTAAATTAATGATACTACATTTCTGTTTGGATTTCAGTATGTAACTTCTAAGTCTTTAAAATCTGAATTTTCTTTACTGCATCTTTTTTGCTGGGAATGCTTTTGGAGTGACTGTATCTTCTAGTTCATGGATGGACAGTGTTTTGGCAGTGAAGGACACATTTTTAGTTGTATTTTTGAAAGCATTTATGGATTGAGGTTGCATGGCTGATGACCCAAATATCTCATCAAAATGAGCCAGAGCTGAAATGTTCACCTTGATGGACTGTTGGGATTCTGAGGGTTCAGTGCAAAACAGCTGTGTTAAGCCTAGCTTTTCCAGAAGTAATCCAGCAGCTTTCTGAATCCTCCAAATGGAAATGATTTGTGGTGTTTTGGGTAAAGAACATTTCATGCTGACCTAGACAAAAACAGACCTGGTTTGAGTCTGTATATTCCCAGAATACCACAGACTATTTCCAGCTTGTAGAGTTAATTTCCAGAAACCACCATCTGACAGTAGAGTCTGTGTGGTCCAGAGGAGAAATAGAATATTCCAGAGTTCCCCAGAATGGTCCATTCCCAGGACAGTGGGTTTTGCATGTACCTCATGATCAATCTCTGCCTCTCATTCTTGAAAAAATCTATATACAGTGGTACCTCGGGATACGAACTTAATCCGTTCCGTGACTCTAGGCGTATCCCGAGTTGGTCGTAACCCGACGCAAATTTCCCCATA